GGAGTCGTGTTCTTCTCTCTCTCCCACCCTCGCCCTCCCCCCTCCCCTCTCTCTCTCTCTCTCTCGCTCTCTTCGACAAAGAAGGTGAATAATTAAAGTTTTTTTTACGGATTTTCATCGACGATACTCGACGAAGAGGAAAGAAAGAAAGAAAGGAAGAAAGAAAAGAAGGAAAAAAATTTCTCGATAGTTGGGAGAGCGGCGACACGCGGGCACAAACGCATTTCCTCTCTTTTACAAGCGTTTCGAAGTTAATGGCTGGAGTTATTGATCGTATCGATTTACCGGAATCTCAACTATTTATAACGTTCTGCGTTGTCGGCCGTCGTCATTACACACAGATACTGTTGTCGATTCCTAAATAATATCCACGAGATTTCCACGAGTTTCCACTTTCGCCTGTTCGACGATCGAACGCTTCTAACCACGGGAGGATGGAAAATTGAATTTCGGCGCATTGTTTCGCGTTGCTCCTCAATCGCGATGCTTCGAACGTTTTAAAAATCAATGAATCAACGAATAATTCCTATCCCGATTTTTTATGCGAATCGAAAAAATGTACTTTTACAACACCAAAACAAATATTCCCGTTATCGTAGGAGAAAAATCAGACAGATTCGAATCGTCCCCTTTATATATCGAGGAAGAATATTAACAAACAAATATATATATTTTTTCTTTTCTTTGTACAGTGAAGGATGGAGGCTAGCGAGTGGGATCACGCGACCTTGAGAGAAGAGGAATTCGAGCAGCATGCGGTATATTTGGTACCGGATGTGTCGGCATCGCCCGGCGATACCAATCGTGCGGAGGCATCCCTGCCAAGAAATTTGGTCCTCAAACCTTCTCAGGCCCTCAACGATGTACGTTCCTCCGCCAAAGAATCGTTTCTCGAGACCTCCTCGGTGAGAGTCGCGAGCGTAATCAACGATTTCTCTCCAACCCCTTTCCCCGAACTCGGCCCCGAAACAACGCCCTTGAACTCCGGAAAAACGAAGTACTCGTTCTCGATCGGGCGGCTAATTGTTCCCGATTTAAAGGGTGAATCAAACTTGACCGAGCGACACAACGAGCTAATCAACTTACCGAGCTGTATGACCTAGAGCCCAAGCAAATCGTTACACTTTCCTCGGTGACGGGGAATCGAGACCAATAGCCTCGGTCGTTGCACCAACTCTACGAACTCTTGCTTCGACCGTGCTGCGTTTACACCTTTTGTGTCGGATAATCGCGTGGAACGAAAGATTTGGAAAACGATCGGATTTAGAATTATTTCGTTCGGGAAACTACCGAATAACGGCTTGGAAAATTGTTGATGCATTATAGTACTAGCACCGTGTGACGAAAATAGATCGATCCGTTCGTAAATAATCGGATAAAAGCACAGTTTTAACGTGCTTTCCGACAAGATCGATGGAAATCTATTATTTCACTTGCCCGGAGTGTACAAGATAATTTTGTATACGGGGTAATTACGGGCGAGGGGAGATAGGGGACCGAGAGGACAACGGAATCTCAAATTAATTCGATTGAATCGTGTAAATCGTGTAAACTGATAAACGATATCGAACGCGTGTTTTGCGCAGGTTTTGGGAGTGTGGAGCACAAGTTACATACCCAAGGGGACACGGTTCGGTCCCCTTGTGGGCCATGTGTACACCAAGGACTCGGTGCCGGCCGACGCGAACCGGAAGTACTTCTGGAGGGTAAGAATCGTTCGAGTGTCTATTCGAGAGCCGCGCATATTTCGCAAGCGGTCGGCTATCATCGCGTAGGCCAGTCTCTTGGATGAGACGGGAGGAAAGGAAGAAAAA